CCCCAGCACAAGACAGACACAGACCTGCTCAGGTGAGTCCAGAGGAGGCCACAAAGATGTTCAGGGGGCTGGAGCACCTCCCCTGGGAGAACAGGCTGAGAGAATTGGGGTTGTACTTTTTAATTTACACATTTTTGAGTCGTACCTGATATTTTGTTATATTATCTACGCAGAAAAATATCATTTTTCCCCATACTTAAACTGTTTTGTCTCTAAAGGTGTATGAACATGTATACGAAACTGTGGATATCAGCAGTAGCCCAGAAGTTAGAGCTAATGCAACAGCAAAGGTAAAAGCCAAACTGTAACTTGTGTAAAGTACGGTAGTTTGTTGCTCTAGAAGCAGAAGATTATTTAAAATGCAGAAGGATATTATCTAGATGTCTGATAAAATGGATATGCTTAATAGGTTATTAAAATGTGTAACAAAAGACTTGTTATTTTTAAGTTTCTTCCGTTTTATTCATGGAGTTCTAAATTGTTCATGCTAGTGTTCGTATCTAGGGAATTAATCTCATTTCTCTTAATATTTAAGTACTTTGAGATAAAAATACTTTTTCAGGCTGCTCACTTTGTCTAGCTAAGGGGTCTATATTTAATTTCTTATAAATAGGAAAATCTTGTTTCTTACAGGCCACCGTAGCTGCCTTTGCTGCTAGTGAAGGTCATTCCCATCCCAGAGTGGTTGAACTTCCCAAAACGGAAGAAGGTCTTGGATTCAACATTATGGGAGGCAAAGAACAAAATTCTCCAATCTATATCTCTCGAATTATCCCTGGCGGTATAGCTGATAGACATGGAGGCCTGAAACGTGGAGACCAGCTGCTTTCTGTAAACGGAGTGGTAGGAATTCTTTTCACTTGATGTAGCAGTAACTGCTTGTTTCCACTTGGGGGCATACGGAGAATATACATGGCACAAGCTCGGTGTTGTGTTTTAATCTTGGCAAAAAAGTTTCTTTTTGTCTGTGCAAGAACAACTTGGAACCACTTGCCTAGGTTTCTACAGAGTTGTGTGCGTTGAGAGCTCTAGGGTTATGCTTTGGTTATCTCTCTCAGCTGGGAACTGTACTATTTATGTCAGCATTTCAGATTCTGAGGGGTTGTATAAAGCTAGTCAAAGTGTTATTTTGTGAAGTAATAAATGCCATTACGGCTTCCTTCTTCATCCAAGTTTCATGGTGCAGATTTTAACTTCTATAGTCTTCTGCACCTTCTAAGGTAAGTAGTAAATTATGGTATGGTGCGTTAGACTGACCTGATTCTCCTTATCCGAACAAAAATGCTACTGCATAATGGAAGTTATGATAAGATGGAACTACAAGGTGGTGTTATCTTCAGTTGTATGGTATTTTTTTTCCTTCCACTTAAGTGTACTGAGCTTCAAAAACAGAGGCCTTTTAGCGTATTTTAAGGAGTGTATGTATAAAGTGCTGTTGTGGATATTTATTTTTAATAAGTATCTTCTTCTGAAGAGTTACAACACAAAAAGCAAAACACAGGGTGACTGAAAAGAGGGGGCTACGGACGGGCTTTGACTTAAGGCAGCTGCTAGTCAAATGCATGTAAATGCTCTATAACCCTTGCTTTTGTTTATGGAGAAGCTGTACGCTAGCTTAAAAATAATGTTGTCATCATTAGATCTGCAAATCCAATTTTATTTTAAGTCCGAGGGTCAAACTGAATCCTGTGCTCTTTAACCTGAGTGGGTTTTTTTGACACATGAAAGGAAGAGAGACCTACTCGGTGTCTGTACTCTGGGAAGTCCCTGCTAGCACAGGTCTCTGACATATTTGGCTCCTAACTATTACGTGGCAGTCCAGCTGTCCTTTTCAGGAGATGTAGGAGGAATCATGGCCGTAGTGACACAACTGTCCTTGGCCTAGCCTTCCTGTTATTTTGAAGCATTGAAGGACAATTGTGGGACTGTCTTCAGATGAGGCCTTCCTCACCCACAGACCCTCTTAAAGAAAACAAAACCACCACTCCACCCAAAGCTGCACCTGATCATCAGGCGGTTGGTGCAACTAACGCTGACTGGGGGTGTGCGCGTGCACACGTGTGACTAGAGCGAGCCGTTAAGGGTACAGTTGAGAATGCCAGCGTGGCCTCAGAGTCATCACCTTCTCTGCAGATGGAATCCTGTCATCAATATATATGACAGGCATTTTCTTGTAGTTGTAATTTCTAACTTAATAATTAAAATAAAAAATGGCCACTGCCAAGACTGCAGTGAACGTGCCTTAAAATGAGTTTGTTTTTTTTTTTTCCAGCTGGGAGATTTTGAGTGTGCTCCAGAATTTTGATAGAGTTAAACATACAACTTTACAAACCTTTTATTACCAGTTTTAAACAGAACAGCCTACACATCCACTTGAATAACACAGATGAAAACATTCAAATGTATGTGTTGTCTTAAGTCTGATAGAAGAGAAATAACTTGGGTTTTTTTAACTGTTGTCTTTCTTTCTGTAAGTAACTTTATAGTAACGGGGAAACCCTCCAATCAACAGGTACATCACCTGCCTTCTAGCTTCTAATAGCACCAGTGGGAGGTAGGCTTGGGGTAGTCCCATTGTTGTGTTTGATAAGTTTGGGAGAAATAAGTTTTGCTGATAAAATGTATGCTGTCCAGGAATGTATATTTGGATGCAGTTGTTGAGAATTGTTGCTTAAAATCTGTAATTAGATGAATCCAATATAACCCTGATAAATTCTGAGAGCTGTTTTAAAGGGAAGTGTTTTTATTCTGTTCTTACTGAGTTGGATTAGGCTGTTCTTAATCGGTTTAGAGGAAATGAACTTGAATACTTTGCATTTCCTGAGACGTGTGGAGCCCGAAGAAGCGGCACGCTGCATGTTAGCTGCTGTATTGCAGGTGCCCCGTGTGCACTGCTTTGCCTTGTCATCGCACAGGGTCACAGCAAGGCGGCAGCTATCTTGCAGTTGTCTGTGGCAACTTCTTAGGCAAATTGAGGGTGACTACTGAATTTAAAATGCATGCTGAAAGAAGAAAAACAATCTTGAATTTTAAATAAGCATCCTCCTGAAGGTGTTGATTTTTAAGTGTAGTTTCATAATTGCCCAATGTTATCCTTGTTTTACTTACTGTATGTAAATACAGAATTTAATTGTTCAGCATAAACCTAACCAAAAGTTTTGCTCTACTCTTGTTAATGCTAATTAGTATGTTTATCATCACCTCTTATTGATTTGCTGAAGAATAAATCCTGAACTTGGGTGATGTCCTTGTGCAGTCTTCAAACTAGAATACTTCAATATTTTATTACATAGAATTTGTACAAAAAATGGAAAAAAAAATGTTTTCAGTGTGTAGCTTTACTAATACTATACTTAATGCTTTATGCTTTGCAGAGTGTCGAAGGTGAACACCATGAAAAAGCAGTAGAACTGCTGAAGGCAGCTCAAGGAAAGGTTAAATTAGTTGTGCGATACACACCAAAGGTCCTGGAAGAAATGGAGTCGAGATTTGAAAAAATGAGATCGGCAAAACGCAGGCAGCAAAATTAACGTTGTATGCAATAACTTAAAGAGAAAATATATTCCATTTGCGTTTTATAGTTTGCTTTGTGACTCAGTTGATCCAATGCCTGGGCTACAAAAGACCCTGTCCTTTTCATAGAATCACAGAATGACTGACGTTGGAGGGACTCCTGGAGACCATCTAACCCAAGACCATCTAAACCCTGCTTAGAGGAGGGTTAGCTAGAGCAGGTTGCTCAGGACTGACAGGCTGGGTCTTTGAGCATCTCCAAGGATGGAGACTCCAGAAGATCTCTGGGCAACCTGTTCTAGTGTTTCGATCTCCCTCACACTACAAAGGTCCATTCTTATGTTTAAACAGAACTTTCTGTATTTCCATTTGTGCCCGTTGCCTCTTGTCCGGTCACTGGATGCTCCTGAGAAGAGTCTGGCTCTTTTTGTACTCCTCCCTATCAGGCATTTACAGGTGTTGGTAGGATCACCCCTGAGGCTTCTCTTCTCCAGGCTAGACAATCCCAGTTCTCTCAGCTTCTTGTCTGTCAGATGCTCCAATCACTTAATCACCTTTGTGGCCCTTCACTGGACTCGCTCTTGTACGTCCGTGTCTGTATTGAACTGGGGAGCCCAAAACTGGACCCAGCACTTGAGCTGTGTCTCACCGGGGCTGAGCAGAGGGGAAGAATCATCTCCCTCAACTTGCTGGCAGTTCCCTCCTAATGCAGCCCAGGAGGCTGCTGGGGCACGTGGTGGCTTGTGGTCAGCTCGGTGTCGCTCCCAGCAAGGCTGCCTTGCAGCTGGTTGGCCCCCAGCCTGTACTGGTGCAGGGGCTTATTCCTCCCCAGGTGTAGGGCTTTGCACTTCCCTTTGCTGAACTTGATGAGATTCTTCTTTGCCCATTTCTCCTGCCTCCCGGGGTCCCTTTGAATGGGTCGCTGAGGGTGCTCTGGCCCGTCACCCGTGTTAAGGAAAACGTTGAACAGTTGGGACCCCAGCGCAGACCCCTGGGGTGCATCAGTAGTGACTGGCACCCAGCAGGACTTTGTGCCACTGATCACAACAGCCCTCGGCGGTCCAGCCATTTTTAGAATGTTTTCGTCTCCCTGTGGCTCACAGTTTGAGGAATGTGTACTTTTAAAATGGCCTAAGATACCCTGAAAAAGTGTATATGTTGATATTTCTATTGATTATTTTTTTAAATAAGTCTCGTGTCAGACATTTAAGCATGAAAGTGAATTTACAAATTTTTCAAAAGCATTTAATAAGACATACTTGTACCATTGGTGTCCCTTTTTTCCTGGTGATTTTTTTTTTTGTCATTGTTTAACTTAGAATCGACAGGTTTTTTTGCTGAATTTTGGAAAAAAAGATTCTTATGTAGCAGTATTTTGGCACTTTTCTTAAGAATATGTTCTATATCAGCTACAAAACCTAATCATGATCTACTGTGTAGCTGATAATAATACCAGATTTTTTAATGTTTTGGTGAGTACATTATTTTTACACTTCTACTAAATTGCAATTCATTACTCTGGAAATTAATTACCTCACTTGTAAATAATTTACGGTTGGTGTTCTCATATAATGATTTTGTAATAGCCAACACTTACAAATTTGCAGCAATCATTCCTGTGACTTATATTATTTTGTACTAATTTTAGAGCAGTTAAGGAGAAAAATGTAATGGTGTATGCAGTTCTGGCTTGACTCTAGATGTATTTTTATATTCAGAAACAGAAGATATATTAATGTAGTGCAAAAGAATTCCAGATGTTTCCCTGACTTTCTGCCTGTTTAAAAGAAATATTCACCTTAATTGTCATACCTGTTGTGGTTTTAGTATGTTCGGTTGTAGTCTTATCTACCGACTGGCTGTATTGGTCTTGGAATAGTTAGTACCTAAATTATTGATTATTGCATTTATAAGAGCAGAATGTTCTGAGGCCAGGTTGCCGTGACATGTGAACTTGTCCGGGGTTTTATTACTGACTGCTGCTGACTGGGAGGATTCTTGTTGGTACTACAGAACAACTCCATCACCGTTGCTATAAAACTTCATGTGGAACGGTGCTGTGGTGGTGATAAGGAATCTCCAGCTGTAAGCGATTCGTGTCTTATCTCAAGGGCAGTTGATGGTGGCACAGTTCTTGTGAGCTGTTCTGAAAGGAAATTTCTGGACAGCAGTCTGCTGCTTGGAATCTACCAGGTTTGAGGCTGTACTTGTGTAGTTTAGGTTTTAGGGTTGTTTTTCGTTTAGTTTTTTAAGCTTCACCTTTTGGTATATATCTAGAATTTAACTTGATTGTCTACTGGATGTCTGTTCCCTTGTATGGCAGCTACGAGTGCATCCCAATGGACTGTTAGTAATCTGATTCTTAGAAGCTTAAACTGAAAAGTGCAGTTCTTGCTCTGTGGCTAATCCCTGCTCTTTTCACGTGGGGCGGTATGATCCGTTGTGAAATAGTTCGGTATGTGAAAGAAAGGAAAAGGTTAGCGGTCTAGAAGTGACAGCATGAAGCTTGTGCTTTGTCAGTTGATCTATTGGAAAAGAAAAAATGTGGTTGCTATAGGCAAGTGAGAAATGTGGTTGCTTCCTGCATGTCCGTAAGCATGGTAAGCCTGCAAAGAGAAACGTGGATTTTAAAGATACTGATAGTTTGAAAATGCAGTATAAATGTTTATCAGTTAGATGATGTTGAGCACTGAATTGCGTGGTTGATGGGTGTCATAGGCCTCCTTCAAAAGGCCTCATGTTACTGGTACAACCATGTTGTTGAACTGTTTATTTTTATGGAGCAACTAATGTTTAAAGTATTGAGACCAAAATCACTAGTTAGACCAGTTGTGGATGTGTTTTAATTTAATTGTAAAATAGTAGAGGTTTGGTTTAGAGCTATATATAAATATATATATATATTCATTCAAGAAAGGTCTGGATACAAGATAGAAATGTGCATTTTAAACCTGTCTCCCTTGTGTTACTGAACAAAGAGGTGTGTTTTGTTACTCTACGGAAATATTTACTCTAGTGCAGCTAGAGCTGCTAAATGCAGTCACATTTTCGTTCTGAATTGTAGCATTTCGGTACGGTTTATCAGCTACTACAAAGTGTGGGGAGGTACATCTGGGCATATAAATTGTACGTGTAGAATTTAATAAAGTTTTTTAAATTGCTACAACAAAAATTGCCGATAAACAGACAACTTATTAACAAGTCATCTTTAATACTATGAAAACCCTGTAAGGAACGGATGGATTAAAATATTCCAAGGAACTTGATCTCTGTTACTACTGAGCAGTGCCTGTACTGTGTTATATGCAGTCCCTACACACTTGGCATATCGGGTGTGCAAACGGATTAAGAGGAGGTATCGTTTCTGCAGGTAACTTCCGCATCTGCTGCTGCTGTGAGGGATCTTTGGGTTTTATCAACAGAAAAATAAAAGTTAAATTTCATGTGTGTTGTGTTTGTGCATTTTTCTTCTGACTTTCCATTTTGAGTCCTGTTTTCAGACTGCTCTGGTTGGGTGTTTATAATCTCTAGGGCGTAACATAAACACCCTGCATGTGTGCGGGCATCCAAAGAGACAAACTTTAAATCTGTTATTAGTTTGCTCTCCTGATTGCTTACGGGTCTTCCCTTTCCTACCCCGATGTTTTGTGATTTGTTGGAGAAGAAAATCAGTGCTATAAAGGATTTATAATACCTTGGACCTCCTGAGTTTTTGAGACCTCCTCAGTCTCAGCTGCGTAAACTCAAATGATGCATATTGTTCTGAGTCAGGTATTATCTTTTAATTGTTTGAAGCCAGTATCTCAAGTAAGGAGATGCTGAATTTCTGCAATTCCTTGTTTAAAGTCCTTGCAAAGTTGTCAGCCTTTCAGAAAAATATGCCTGGAGTTATGAACTGAGCTCAAGGTATGAGAAAGTGCTTCAGTTGTGAATGTAAAAGGACTTGGTTTATAATGTAGGTGGGCTGGACTGCAAATTGGAAATATACTCACAAATATTTATGTGAATATTTTCATTTGATGTAGAGGCTTGGTAACACATTAATGGAAAATAACATTGTCAATTTTATTTTAAAATCAAATAATTTTCATGATCTGGCTTACACAGTGGCGATCTCTGTTCTGCTAGATGTGGTTTAGAGAGAAACTGAATTTCAATATAAGGCTTATAGCAAGGAACAAAAGATCGACTGAAGGTAATGTAATTTCATAACTTAAAAAGCAGTAGTTTATCTACCTCCTGTTTTTCATTGCAATTACGGGCTTAACTGATTTTAAAACAACTGGAGAAGTTGGTGAAAGACACTTTATTTCTGACTTCAACTGTGACCTAGCAGTCAGTGTCCAAACAAGCTGGAAAAGTATTTTGGCCAAGCTGGTGTCCCACCTTAAACATGCGCACCTGAGCAGAACCAAACTTAACCCAAGTAAAAGAAACAACTTCATAGTTTTACTGCAAAATTATTTTCTTCTCTTCTGATCATTTCTTCTGGAGGCTGGTGCTGGATGCAAAAGTGTTTCATCTTAATTTAAAACCTGAAACGCTAATTTGAAAAAGCAAAACCTCTGTGTATCTGTGGCTGCCTGCATATTGGCATAGACTGATGAAACTCGGCGGTCCCATCACCTCGTCCTCAGTTACGAGTACTCGCTTGTGCTGGCGTTTGCTGGGGTTTTGACACCTACGGAGCCATTTCAGACCAGTAAAGAAGCGGAAAGCAGTGAATTGTGTTGTCAGGCTTTTTGAGTCTGTTTCCATTGACGTAAGTGTCTTCAAAAAGCGGAGTGCCTGGTCGAAGGAGTCGTGGTGATGCACGGAAAGGCTGAGACCATGGCAGGCAGACAAACCGACTGGGATCGCAGGGAAGCCCAAGACACGGAGCAGTCTGGGTTTCTGGTGTTCTTTGTCTTGTAAAATCCTGATTAGAAGCTGGTTTTAGAGAAGAGCCTGCACTCGCTTCTGTAGGGAAGTTGTCCTTTGCCTGCAGAGTCTGAGGCCAAGACAGGACGCTCAACAGAAGACATCTGAAATCAGAAGTGTGCCTCAGGATGGAATTCGTTGCTGAAAACAAACCAAGAAAACTGCCACAAAAGTTCCAGAGAAGCCTTTTAAAATTAGGTTGGGGTTGAAGTTTTGATGGGCGGCTGTTTCTCGTTGTTCAGAGACCCATCTGCATCCCACGCCTTTTTTCGTTGTGTTTCCTTGGGGTGGGTTGGTTGGTTGAAGTGAATTGGGTATTTTATTGGTAACAAAAGCTTAAAAGGTTTAAAATAAAGTCTTCAGCTTAGACACGTGCTAATCATCTTCCCCACTCCTC